CCTGGGGAATTACCTGGGGTTATCTTTCTGCGGTTTTACATGGGAATAGTTCCTGGGGAATTACCAACGAATTTATGTACCTAGGGAAATACCTGGGATTTATTTTTTGGGTTTTGCCTGCGAATATTTTCATGGGGATTTATATGGGGACTTATATATCTGGGGATTTATGTGGGGACTTATATATGTGGTGCCAACAAAAGTAATATTTGAAAGTTTATGGTTATAATCAACTTTTAAAAATTTATTCATAATTTACTTCCAAAATAATAAAAGCTTTAGTATATACATATTTCTTTACAACTGAAAAAAAGAGAGAGCATAAGCGGGAAACTTAAGCGCCATAACAAAAGGAAAAGAATCAAAACTTTTGGCTTTCAAACCTAGGTCAAGACTTAGAGACTGACGGCAACCTTGAGCCTGATATTGTACTCTCTTAAATTTTCGCGGGTACTTTTACTCTGTCCGCCTCTTCCACTCGCTAAGCTCTGTCACCCCCATTTTTCTAAACCCGTAAGCCTCTCTCCTTTTCTCTATCTCTTTATCTTTTAATTTATGGAATCATAAATATTGGTCAATTTTGTTTTTCATTTTGATGTTCAATTACTGCTTTGGCCAATCGTCTATGTTTTGTTCATCCCATTCTTTGGCTAAGTGAGTATGAATTTCTAGGTTTTTTCATCACCCTTGATTATTTTATATACATTTAGGGATTGATATTTCTAATTTACGAAAGAAAAGACTGAGAATTTTAGGATACAATCTAGAAAACTTTAGTTTTCAAAAGATGCATATTCTAAAGTTATGCATCATCAATTCTGAGTTAGGAAATCATCACGTACATCGAGTTTGCAGGATTCAGATACTAGTAGCACATTATCTTCTCAGTGGCCAGCAACAAAGTTGAATTAGAAGCCAGATTTTGAGGCAATTTCTGCTGCAGCAATTACCAAATCGATCTTTGATAGCCTTCAAAACCAATTATTGCGTGAAAAAGCAAGACTGCTGTTGATTAGCAATTATTTTTGCATATCTTGTTACCTAACACATAGAAACTGAATATTAGAACTAGAGAAGTAAAACACTAATGCTTACTTAGTCCTAGAACTTTATCTTTTCTTCTATTAGTTTTGGTTTGAGGATGCTCATATTTTCCATTGGTAAAACGTGAAGTTTATCCTTGGAGTTAAGAATTTTTAGTAGTGCAGCAAAGATTACGTTTTACTCTTCATCTTTTGCCCACCTGGTTAGCTCTTTTTATCTTTTATTTTTTATTTTTATTATACTCACATTGATCTTGCACACACATATTTGTGGTGTTTATATTTCTCTAAAAAACTGGTGTTGCCTGACTAGAGGATGCATTTTCTGTGCAAACCATACAATCTTTTAAAAGCACAACAGGGAGTAAAAGTAGATTAAGTTGATTGCCAGAACTAGGTTGTGATGTACGCATGTCAGTATATGTAAATTTCATGAGACTGGACCTGTTTTTTGGGCAGCCAAGAATTCCAACACTAACTGCTTTATGTCTAGTGATTAAATGCTATTATCTATATTTTTAACTATATTTGTCTTTTGGTTCAGAAAATGAAAATTCCCGAGCATCGAAAATGGATGGAAAATAGACTTCTTCCCCGTCGAGCGGGGTATACAGATGAATTTTTAAGTGGCATGGATGGGTTTATTAAATTTGCTTGCAGTCAACCTAAGTACTTGTCCGAGGGAGTCATAAGGTGCCACTATTTATTTGCCACTATTTATTGTTTACCTACAATACTGTATTTGATTTTGAAAATAGTTAAAATCTGTCATGTGGATACTACTGCTTTTTTTTGTTTCTATTAAAGCTACTGTTTTAATATTCAGCTTTCCTATAGGTTCTTGTACTTCTATGCTTTTGGTAACTCATTTGATATCTATAAATATATATTTATTTATGTGGTCTTAGCATAATAATAATTCTTTCGCTGTTGAGATCCATATCATTATGCTTATTCATTTATTGTACATATATTAGATCATTAATATATTATATAAATATTCTTTGATTTGTTTCTTACAGATGGCAGGTGCAGGATCTAAAAGAGATGGACAATCTAGTGGTAAAGGAGGAAAATCAAATAAAAGAAAGTCAATTGCCATAGAGCGACAACCAATTCAGTTGCCTCCCTTAATCCCGTCACGACCCCTCTTGTCTCATAATGGACCACTTCATGTAAATGAGCCTTCTTTGCCTCAACCTAGTCGTGAAGTCAATCGATCTCAGCCTCACATCACTGGATCTATTCCTCCCATAATACTACCACGACCCCGCCTATCTCCTACTGGTCCACTTCATATAAATGACACTTCCCTGCCTCATCCTATTCTTGAAGTCGGTCAATCCCAGCCTCATAACACTACATCACAACCTCAATCTAATGAATCTCAACCTGTAAATCAAGAAACTGAACAGATGATGTCTCCACCGGCTAATATGACTCCAGCCACCTCATTTAGTACGGTTGGCAATGGCGATGATGAGCATCGAATGTGTATTAAACCTGAAGCGGATGGGTAATTATACTAACTTGTATTTTTATTATTATATAAAAGAGTAAAAGATTCGACATTTTTATTCATGACTTACACAATGTTTTTTGTGTGTGTATAATATATATATATATATATATATATATATATATATATATATATATATATATTAGGTTCACGTGAACCCATATGTCATACTATAGAACAATCTCTGCATTGGAAGATTTATTTTGTATATATTCCCAGATGCTCCTCGAGTTTTATTGGTGAGCTGAGCTGAATTGATGTTATTCTATCTGATAAATGCATACTGTATATTTGTGTGAATTAGTTGCTAGCCAGAGGGATTCTAACTGAGGTTTTGAGTTAATAATTGTGTTACTAGTTCTGCATGCTGGAAAAACTTAATTGCAGAATTTTTGTATTTACTTGCATTCAGTGGATTGAGTTGGTATTAAAGCTAGATATTGATGATTATCTTTATATTGGAGTTCAATATCATAGCTCGAGGAGTTGGGTGTCAGTTCAAGTGTTAAACCAGCAAAATTCTAGTGCTGCTTCTTTTTATGGTTGTTGATGTAGATCACGTTGTGTCTTAAACTTCAAGTATCTCCGGAACCCTCTAGCATTAACCGATAGAACTGCTTATGCAATTATTATTGATGCTATTACTTATATTGATTGCTAATTAGTTGGTCCATGTGTGTTCGACAGCATTAACATATGTGTTATCAAGTGTCAGTTGCATATGTACTACTATTAATATGTTACTGTGCTCTATTCTATGTGAATTCCAGTTTGAAAAGCTAACAAATGATAACATATGCTGGAAACTTAATACTGTACTAGTGGAGTTTGCTATCAGATAACTCCTTTAATTATCTGTTGGTATAACTACTATACTTTATGTAGGTTTGATCCTCACAAGCCAGTTATTGAAGGTATTGCTATTTGCATTCGTAGTAAATTTGAGCTAGCTAAACCTTCTTGGAAGAAGTTCCCACAATCTATTCGCGATATGTGGTTTGAGGAATTCAAGGTAAAGAAATTTATAATCTGGTTCATATTCAAATATTGTTGGTATGATATTGTATGGCTAATGCAATTTTAATTTGATACATGCAGAAGAAATTCATATGGCTACCTCACTATAATGTAGCTATACGGGACAATTTTGAGAAAAGAGCAGCGGCAAGAATGACCCAACTTTTTCAAGATATTAGAAAAAAATGAATCGTGATTCAAATGACGGCGCCTCAGTTCATGCAGGTGGTTGTATACCTCATCGAGTGATTTGGAAGAGAATGGTAATATATATATATATATATATATATATATATATATAGATCTTTTTAAATTTATTTCTTCAAGAGACTAACATCATATTCAGTGTTGATAATATTGTATTTTCCTTTATTTCCAGAAAGAAGCTACTGGAAAAGAACCTTCAATTGCGGAATTTTATTTTCAGACTCATCGCACAAAAAATGAAAAATGTTGGGTAAATGAGAAAGCTGAAGCTGCTTATGTAAGTGTTCCTTCTTTTACTTTTTTTCGAAGCATTACCTCAGTGACAACATATGATATATTTGCTCAGATCAAACAATTGCTCAACTAAACTCAACAAGAGCACACGTTATTTCTGAATTCTGTGTAAACTTGAATCCGCTGCTCGTTAGATGCTGGCCTGCTGCTCGTTAGAAATTTAAAATGATTTCCTTTTAATGAATTGTTGACATGTGATAAGAGTTTTTTTTATACCATTAGTGTAATTTAACATATTTCTATTCTAGTTTACCAATTAATACTATATTAGATAGAGTTGTCTCAATACCCTTTAAGTGACATGATAGCATAAACATTTTTACCATCGTCAATGCATAGAACTTAAAATCACTTAAATCTTGATATTTCTTTTATCAAAAACATAGAGGAAAAGATCTGTTGCTGACCTACTAGTGCAAACTTGCAATTGCAATTGTACTGTTGGTTGTTCATGCTTCCTTATCAAACTTTTTGGCCTTCTTGCTTAGATTAAGTATATTTCCTAAGGCTTACTTCATGTACTATCGTTATGGACATAATTTTTTAAGTTATGGATGATGAGAATTGAGAAAGGAACTTTATTTACATAGAACAAAATACAGCAGTGCCTTACCGTGGAGAAAGTGCCGCTTAATATTCTTCTTTAATTGCCTGGTTCCATATATTTCACGCACAATACTCATCTGTGAAATGCTTTATACAGAGTGCTAGCTTAGCACAGCGTGTCCACTGTCCACTCTCTATCTACATCATCTATTTACGTTTGTAAAATATTTCCTTTTATTGGCATTATATAATTTCTCAAATAACTTACTTTGGTGCAGAATAATTTTGAAAGAAAGAAACAAGAACTATCAGCTTCTCAAAGTGCATCAACTGATCAGGTAGGTGACACTAATTCAGCAAGCCAATTAAGTGAAATGGATATTTGGGTGCAATCTATTGGTGGAAAGAAAAAAGGAAAGGTTGCAGGCCTTGGCTCCTTGGGTCGATCAGTAAAAGCACTTAAGCATTCAACATCTACTTTACCAGGAGAAATTGATGAGATGATTAAATCTCAGGTGCATACTTCCAATGCTAACTTATATGCTCAGTTGCAAGAAGAGCGGTGCAAAAACAAAAAAATGAGGAAGGAATTAGACTTATTGAAGAAGTATGTGAATTTCAATGCATCATCTTCAAATGAGTTATCATCTCAAGAAGACAATCAAGAATCTGAGGATGGAAGTGACAATGACTCTGATAATGTGAATGAAAGTGGTTCTAACCCTGGTAACGTGAATGAAAGTGATTATAATTAGGATTGAGATGTTCATTAGACTATTAAGTTTTACATTTGGGATATTTTGCTTTTTGATGAAGGATTATATGTTATTAATATTAATGTTATGAATTTGGGATATTTTGCTTTGTGATGAAGGATTATATGTTATTATTATTAATGTTATGAATTATGTTTTTTCTTTGGAAATTTTACATGGTGATTTACCTACGAATTATTACTTGGAAATTTTTCTGGGATTTTACATGCAAATATTTCATGGGAATTTTCTTGCGAAAATATACTCCTGCGGATTTTACTTGGAATTTTCCTGCGGAATATTTTTCATAAATATTCACAAGAAAATCCCTTTCGTCCATAAATTTTAACCTCAAAATTTCCTACGGACTTACTTGAGGATCTTCATGGGGAATTACCTGCGGATTTCTTCCTACATAATTTCCCAAGAAAAATCCTTTTGTTTACGAATTTTTACCAAAATACACCTGCGATTTTTTTGATATGTTTCGCTGATAAATCCGCAAATAAGTTACATGGGGACACAAAATCCCCAGGTAATATACCTGGGGAAATTTTAATTCGCAGGTAATAATTACCTACGAAGGTTTTTCCAACGGATTTATTTTGGTAGGAAATTCCGCAGCAAATCATATTACCTGCGGATATTTTTATATTATCCTTAGGAAAATCCCCAGGTAATCCGCCTTTTTCTAGTAGTGATCCCAAAAGTACATGTTATAACATTCTCAACTTGTCGGCTTTCGACGGAACTTATTTTATTCAATTCGTTTAGTTTCTAAGCCTTCCAACCCTCTTGGTACTTGGTATTCATGATATTAAATATTTGTAACCTTCATGGTATTATGATTAACTTACTTCATGTACTTTCAAAGATGATCTCATTTCTGAGCTTACATCAATTGACTTACGACTTACTCTTACGTACTCAAACATGGGGTGTAACATGCGGTTCGCAGAAGAAAGCGTGGACCGCAAAATTCTCTTTGTGGACCGCAGATCTGGTGTTAAAGCTCAAAAGTTGATTGAAGAGAAGCGCGGGCCGCACACAATTTATGCGGCTGAAAAACATGATCGCACTGACAAGAATTCAAAAAGTTCAAAGAGTGTTCAAAACGATCAAGATTGAAGTCTTGCCAGAAGTGCGGATCGCACATGGAATTGTGCGGCCCCAGAAGCTGAAGTGCAACCGCATATCAAATTATGCGGCAAAAAAATCCCTCAATTTGAAGACTCGAGCAAAGTGCGGACCGCACATAGAATTGTGCAGTCGCAGAACATCCCGAAGGGCATTTTTATCAGCGGATTTTGGGCCACTATAAATAGACGGGAATCACTTTTTTAGGTTAAGTTTTGTAGTTTTTTGAGCCGTAGTCGTTGTTGTTTACCACTTTTGGTAATTTGTGACCAATTTGGGTTAAAAAAACATTATTTTATCACTTTAATTTTGTATTTTATTTAGTGCTTCTTCTTTGTTTTCTTCCATTTCTACTATGAGTAGCTAGATATTTACTAGGGTTGTGACCCAACCCTAGTGTGTAAACCTTATGGGTAATTAATCTAATGCTTGTTTATGATTTGATGTTTGTTATTTAGCCTTGTTCATGCTTCAATTTTAGAATTAATGGTTGCAAACATTGATTCATGCCTTTATGACTTGGTCTTTACTTGAAAAAGAGTGACGTAGTCTATGAAAACTTAGCTAACAAGAAATTGGGCTAGTTAAAATTTTGACTAGCCTAATTAAAGGGTTTGCACTAGAGATAGTGGAAACCCGACTTGAGCTTATATCAACTATTTGGTATGATACCCATTTGGGCTTGAGAAAGCCAAATTGGCAAAATCACTCTATGACCGACGGGTATTGAGTGTGTAACTTAGAGTTGAGAGCTTTAATATACCCCAATAGCTAAAACAAGTGTTAATGTAATTAACCCATTAGCCTAATACCTAGGTAAATGTTACATCCCTGGGACTTTTACCTATTTAAAAACAACCAAAAATAATTAATCAATCTCTAGTTTCATTTCTCTAATTAATCATTGATAGTATAGTTTATAGAAGTAATTTGCAAAACCATCTTGTTTGGAAGTGTATTTAAGCTATTTCTTCTACGCTCATCAAGTCTGCACTCTAACACCCACATTTAGCTCCCTGAGGAAATTGACCCCGACTCATAGTTGGGTACTATTCTTCCAACGACCTCTTCCACTCATTGTTGAGTGTAGATTGGGAGTAGATCAACTGCGTACGCCTTGAGAGCAGTGAGTGCTTTAGTTATGACGCCTAGGCTTAGTTCTTGACTCATGTATAAGTGCCTTAAATTATTTGATCTCGACTTTCCTTAACTGCTTTGACTAGAGAGTCGGGATAGATCTGGTCCTAAGTGAGTTATGTGCTAATGTGTGTGTGAGATCTTATTGAAATTCTGTGCATGTCAGTTGATGTCTAGAACTTGCCCCATATGTTTGCAAAGCGAAATAGTAGTCATGTTCAGTTTAGGAAGCGATATATGCATTTTTTGTTGAGCCATATATATGTTTATCACCCACCTAGTTGTATGTATCTTAGTTAGCCCTGTTGAACCTGTAATCCTACTTATTTGGCAACTACACTACAAGTCTGACCCCGTTGTTTGAATTGACCATTTGTTTGAAATTTTTACCTCTCGTAAGCAGCTAAAACTGTTATGAGCTTGTTACGAGTTGAATGGAGGTATGGTAGGCTGTTGAGTGGAGCTAAGAATAATGGAGAAAGGTGCACTAGTTGAAAATTTGTGAGAGCCACATATAAGGGATTGAAAAAAAAGCACGAAAAAGAGTTTGTATATGTAGTAGAAAAAAAAGTGATTCTTTGCTAGTAGTAGTTCTCATCTTGTCCGTGCGTAAAAAAATTGGGAGTGGGGTTATTATGTTATGAAGGTTGGGGTTTGGTTCAATACAAGTGTGGGTTAAATTGTTAATGTATATGTATTAAAGTGCTTAGGAAGGTGTAGTCACTATATCCAAATGTATCTTACCCGTCTCACAGCCTACATTACAACCAAAATAAAGTACTACTTGATCTTTGACTGAATAAGCTCAATTAGTAGAGTATTACCCTATGGGCAAGCCTATGGTACGTTTTCTGTGGTGCATGGAATTTATTTCTGAGATGGAGTTAATTCTTCCCATATTGAGTTCTTATTTGTTTTTGAATTTTGTTGTGTGTAGAACTACTCTGTCTCTTTGGTGTGAATGCACATGATTTATAAAGGAAAGGTAATGTCTTTGGCCTCCGTGTTAGAGTAAGTGAGTGGGTTTTTGAAAAATACGTGGTGCTTTTGAGTCAAGTCTTGAGGCTAGGATGTTATGATAGGGTGCTTAGTCTACTTTAAATATTCTTGGCATGATGAGTTAGGGAGGTTGTCTGATGAAAAGATCATCTCTATGTGAAGTGCAGTTTGATTGCTCGAGGACAAATAATGGTTTAAGTGTGGGGTATTGATGGTATGCTAGAAACTCGTATTTTAGTCATAGTTTACAGTATAATTACTGCATTTTACTTGTGTTTGAGCTTAAATGATAGTGAATTGCACTCATTATGTGTTTTATACCTTGCAGGAAGTGATTCTGCGTTAGAAAGATAACCGGGAGCTAAATCGAACAAGTTGGAGCTTTGAAGTTTGAGTAAAAGCCCAGAAAATTAAACCGGGATCACGTTCGGAGGTCAGGAGTCAAGTCTGGATATCAAAACGTGAAGAAAAAGAATTACTCCGTAAAAATTACACAGCCAGGTCGTCGGGTGCAGCGGGGCTGTGTAAGCTTGCCAAATCCATAAAAAATGAACCTCTATAAAAGTCCACTGGTGCGCCGCGTTGCACCGTGCTAGTGTGTTTTTCTCATAGTACTGTCCTAGTTCGGCTAGGAAAGGATAGTTTCGTCCGGACCCGTTCCAACATGGTATAAATATATCAAAAATACGATTTAGAGGACTTTGGACCTATGAAAGATTTAGGAAGCAACTAAGGCAAAAAGACAGAAGAATTCATCAAGATTTCAACGAACAATCGGTGAATACGGGAGTTTGTATCGTATCATTAGTATTGATGTTTTCTATGTTTTTAAACCGTATTGAGATGACTTTTTGCATTGCTATGGAGTAATTTCTTTTAGGGTGTTGACATATATATTTTTTAATAACTTGATTAGGGATTCGATTTTTGATAATTGTTGGAATTAATTGATGGAGTTTTAATTCGTATTGTGAAGTTATTTATTATTTTACTTAATCGAAAGAGGAGCTTTATATTGAACTCTTTACATCTTATGCTCTAGTTTAAATTCGTGATTCAAATATTCGAAAGAGCCTCTTGAATTGTTAATCAAACTAGCAAATAGGAAAATATTCGTGAGAAGTTACCCTTTAAACCATAACCATCATTTTATTCATTGCAGTTATTTACCGTGCTTCAATTGGATTAATTACTGAATTTAACGTTTAATCGAAGGAGAAACATTAACTTCAAGTGAAATCTTATTATTTGTTGAATTCGTGAGAATCAACAATATTATAGAGTGAACTAACTCAAGAATTGGATCCCGAGTCAATTATCTTGCACATGTCTATCCAATTACCCTTATTTCTCTCATTGATATTTCTTTATTGCTCATCTGTTGTCTTTTGCGATCAATTATTAATCGCTTAATTTTTAGTAGTTAATGGTAGTTGATAATCGTAAAATCAAGTATTAATTTTCCTGGATAGTAATTAACTAAAGATTATTTGAATATTGTTTAAATTCAATCCATGCGGAGACGATAATTAAACTATACTATCTTTGGCTAGCGAGCAACAATTTTGTGTTGTGTTTTGCGCTCGTCATGGTAATCAATATAGCTTTTGGGAAACAAATCAAGTATCTCATGTTTTGGCAAAATAAGCTGCTAAGCAGTCCAAACTAAATCAAGTCAGGAATTTTGCAGTCCCGCCATATTTTGTAGAAAATCGATTCCTAGCAGACAAAGGTGGAACACATTTTATTAGATTTATTTCGGATAACATATGTACTAAGTTGGTTGAACTTGGTAACCAAAACACCCTAAGTGGCATCTCTCTGACATGTTATATGACTGGTTCTTAGTAGTACTAATATTAGTATTCTAGTTTCTCAAAAAAAAAATAAGAGATTCAGATTCATGCATTGCATAATTTATAGGGATAATTCTATATTTTTGCTACCGAAAATATGAGAACTAAAATGAAAAAAAAATAGTTAGTGAGAGTTCATATAGCCGAGTTAAATTTTTTTTTGGAACCAAATATTATATTTAATTTGTTTGGCAATTTGTTAGGCCGGTGTATGTTTGAGGATTAAGCAAATTATTTTCTAGACTGAGAGAAATTTCTTCAATTGCCTCTAATGTTTATTAGATGGTCTTTGCCTCGGTAGATTAACTTGTTAACGTACTAGATTGGAGTAACCATCGAGGGACAAGGATAAACGGGCCACTGGGTCAAGAAAAATTAATTCACTAATGATGTTGACCTATCTTAGCTTTTTCCAAAAGATCCATCTTGAGAATATTTGGAATATAAGTGCAATTTCTGTCATCTTTTTTTGGGAATTGTTTGTTCGGTTTTATCTAATTAGATAAAAGGTGTGAATGGGAAATGGGGGGGAAAGATTTGGAGGAAAATAAAAAGTTTGAAGTTGTTTCCTTTACTACTGCACTTTGTCCCATATCGGAAAATAGAAAGAAAATCTTTATGCTTATATAGAGAAGCACATCTTCTAGCTCTTTAGCTATAAGAAGTGGTGCCTTGCGCCGTTGTCGTCGTCGCCTCAAATTCGGACAATTGATATGATTAATTGATAATATTTTGGATCAAAATTATTTTCGGTTTTCCGCTATTTAATTTTTTTTTCTAATATTTGCGGAATTTTCCCAACAGTCAAATTCGCGACTAACAAAATTTTAATTCTGGCGAACTATAAATACAGAGGAGTAGCCTCATTTTTTACCACCAAAAATCTGCATACTCTCCCCTTTCTCTTCTGCATTTCTGCACTATTTTTTCAAAGCAAAACATAAGCATAAGTGTGGTTTACTGTCATTTGTTGAGTTCGACGAAGTTCTGTAATTTCCGTTGCCGGTATTACAGAATAGTTATTCCGTTCTATCCTGGGAGGGATTAATCCAATAACCTTGGAAAATAGTAAGGGGATTAAATTCCTTACGGAAACACAGTTTTCTGTTAGGCTCGGAACTTTTATTTATTATGTTTTCTGCTTTTGATTTATTTTATTTTTGCCAAAATTATTTTTCGAATACAGATGTTATCAAGCTTGAAGAATTTAATATATTCTGTGTTCATCTGACTTTCTACTCAATCCGAAATTAAAATCCTTGCAATTTTCTACTCGATTTTTTATATTCGGTTTGAAGATATAAGAACTTCACCGACTTACTAATTCTGGTTGTGTCAATTTTTTTCACAGAAAAATGACAACGAGTACGGAACAACAGAATCGTTTTGTTGGGACTACTGTTGCTGCAATGGCTACTGCATCTTCAAGTCGCACAACGCCTACACTGGCGATGGCATCAGCAGAAAAGCCCGAAAAGTTTTCCGGCGTGGACTTTAAGTGTTGGAAGTAGGAAATGTTCTTCTACCTGACCACACTCAGTTTGCAGCGCTTTATCAGCGAGGTTGTTCCGGTTTTGTAGCGACCCGGCCGGTCGTTTCATGAGTTACAACCCCGTTTTCCCCATTTCTGCTCCCTTATGTGTTGTTCAGTTGTATTTGATCATATCGTGTTGGTTGTGTTGTGTTCGGAGTGGCCTTGGAACAGAATGAGACACTTAGTCTCTTATTTAGAAGCTTAAGTTGGAAGAAATCAACCGGATGTTGACTTATGAGTAGAAGGTCTCGGATGTGAATTCTGATGGTTCGGATATCTTCGTTAGGTGATTTTGGACTTAGGAGCCCGGAATATAATTTGGAGGTCCGTGGTAGATTTAGGCTTGAATTGGCGAAAATGGAAATTTGGCGTTTCCCGGTCGGCAGTGGAAATCTTGATATCGGGATCGAAATGGAATTCCAAAAGTTGGAGTATGTCCGCTTAAACAACCCTTATGAAAATATCAAATTAAGACTTAAACAACCCTAATGAAAATATCAAACTTCTCGTATATATGGCAAACTAAAAAAAATATAAAAAAGAATTCAAAGCAAAAGCTTTTCCAAGTTAAAGCAACAATAAAAAATGAAAGACAATAAGGAAAAGACAACAAAATTGACTCTTAAAGCAATAATAAAAATTTTAACCGACGCAGAAACTAAACCTTAGTTTCATGAAAATTGGTACACGTTTCTAATGTCCTTTAACAGGGATATTCATTAATAATAAGTTTTCTATTTATTCTGTTAAATGTTTTCCTTTTGAACCCACCGAAAATTTGACTTTCTTTAATAGAGATATTAAATGTTTCCTACTTATTCTCTTTTAAGTTCTATTTTCCTTTTTTAACCTACGAAAATTACAATTTGTGATGGATATTAATTGAAGAAGTTGTTTTTCACTTATTCTCCTCTTCTTTCTCCTTTTACTGTAATACGTTAGTTTCATTTTTTTCTCCCAAAAATACCTTTTTGATATTTACAATTATATCCAACTTAAAATCCACTTACAATGGATAAAAAGGCGAATAACATTTTGCTAAGGGTCTTCGTGCTTTTAATATAATATATATAAATTTATAAAAAGACCCCTTCAGTTATTAACCTAGGCAACCATCAACTATCCACTTTTCCTTTCATAAAGTCAGAAACACAAAACACAAGCAGCAGGTCATCTTCTTTCATACGAGAATTTTGTTACTGCTCCGTCACCGGTTAATCGAGTAACTTGATTTAAAGTTTTATTTTCCTTTTTGCTCCTATGTGCGTGCCTTTAATATTACTTATTTACTTATAAGGCTTATATTCTGTTGTTATGCACTCTAAAGATGAAAGCTTTCATATGCGATTGATTATTATATTTTGTTATGTTGTAGAAACGTAAAAGAATGAGTAAATCAAATTGGGGTGGTTTTGTTTTCTTATAAATTGTGTGGTATACATCATGTTTTATGATTTTAAAGAAAAGACATCTAAATATGTTGTAAAAATTATAACCAAATACAACTTTATCTTCAATTGAAATTTTAGTGAAATTCCAAATTTAAACTTTTTTTGGAATTCATGTCCAAAAAAACAGACAGACAAAGGTGCTAACTTATTAACATTATATTCTTTTAGTTATCTTCATTTTATGAGTTATGACACAAGCAGATGAATAACATCAAGAAAATCATTAAAGACAATAACCAAATACTCTTTTCTGACTTTATTGGTGATATATTTTACTCTTATCAATGTGGGAAAATGACAGGAAGCCTTCCATTTAGAAACAAAATCAAATTCTTTTAGTAAAATATGTAACTCATTGAAAAAAACATGATAATATTTAAAATTAATTTGAAACCAGGAAAAAAACCATTTAACTGCGGTGATAATGGGCGGCTATGGCTGCTATAAAACAAGCAAAGTCAAATTGGAATATAGCATAGTGCTGAAAAATTCCAAAGTCATGACAATACCACAGCTTTACAAAAAAAAAGAAGAAGAAAACGACAACTCAGTAGGAAAATATGTTTTTTTTTAAATTGTGTATTCCATTTCTAATATAGTTTTAGTCAGGGGCAGGGCTAGCCTTTTTGTTGCAGGTTAGCCGAATTCAGTAACTTTAGTATAAATTCTAAAATTTATTTTAAAAAATTTATTGAATATATATAAATTATTAATTTAGAATTCAGTAGCTTATACTGACTAAAATTCGAATTCATAAGCTCAGGGCGGATTTATAAGCTAAATCACGGGGCAAGTGAACCCATGTTCTCTCCGCCAAACTAGGTATTTTATGTACGTATTCTCTAAAATTGGTTAAATATTATCTGTTGACACTCATGCTCCAAAACATATTGAATGGTGCACTTGGTTGAACATGGGTTAATACTTTTTATTTTTTATTTTTTAAAGGTACGATTCTCACTTAATACTTTTATTTTTATGTACGATTCTCACTTAATAATTTTTATTTTTTATTTTTAGTAGTGCACTCATATTTTAAAAATCTTAGACTCGTCTCTGCATAAGCTTTAATCTTAACTTCGCCTCTGGTTTAGTACTTAATATACCGACAAATTGTTTTTTATGAACACCAGTCGTTTTCTTTCCAGTTATAAGATATAAAATTAATCCAATGAGCCACTTTCTTGACCAAGGACTACAGATTTTTTAATTCTCGTAACTTGTTTTTATAAGAAAACGGATTGTTGAATAACATAGTGGAAGCAATGATACAAATTGAGTAGTCCTTTTGAGGAAATACCGACCAAAATTATTTTATGAGAAAGTGATTGTGAGCAGGGGCGGAGTTAGAGTGACCGGAACGGGTTCGGCCGAACCTAGTAGCTTTGATTCGAACCCTGTATTTATCTTAAAAATTTCATTGAATACGTATATATTATTAATTTAGAACTCAGTAACTTCAAATGATTAAAATTCCGACCCATAAGCTTGAAGTTCTGGCTTCGCCTATGATTGTGGGTGCGTGTTGTGGATTTTCCATTATAAAAAGGTTGATGCATATCGGCCACAACATTTAAATTCACAATTTTAATTGAAGAAACAAAGACAAAAGTAATATAATTTGCAACTATGCAAGCTAAAGAAGGAGCAAGAATTTTTTTTTTCTTTGTTGATAATTTTGTGTTTCTAGCAGTTCCTTCTTTAATTATTCATCTTAGTAGTTCTTTCCTTAATTGTTCAATGATAATATAATGACGAATAAACTAGAAATTATTTTGTTAGAAACTAGGCATATAGTATTGAGAAGTAAGGACATGCTATCCACGATTTTTTAAAAAAAAGTCTGGTGCACAAGATATTTTGCATTCATGCAGAGTTCGAAAAGGGCCGCACCCCAAATAGTGTGATATAAACAGCTTACCCTAATGCAAACATTAGTGACTGCTTTGACCTCCCATGAGTATAGATCACACGAGAATAAATTTACTCCAATACTCCTCTTCAATTCGTAATAACATGTATTTTGTTATAATGCATAATTAATAATAGTCTTTCGTAACAAAAAAAACAAAAAAAAAACAAAGGGGAATGTAAGAACAACGTTAGAGCAATATTATAAGCTGCGAAGGGATAATTAAATATTGGGCCACGTTAACGTAATGGTAATGGTAGAAACTCTTAGGTAACAAAAATAACTTCTTTTTTTTCCATGTGTTTAACTAACCCAAAAAAGCTAATAATTGACTTTCACTCCCTGATGATAACATTTCTATGTAAAGGGAGTGCTAATTAGTTGATAGAGCACTAAAAAATTAATATGATTTGGTGGACGAATAACTTAAATTAACATTTAGTCTAAACACGATTACGGGCCACATAAGCATGTCCTTTCAAATAAATAGTATACTACCAATTTAAATTTTTCGATGAGATAGTGCAAATAAATATTTTCAAGATTTTGGACTATTTCTTCGAAATTTTTTGTTTGCTGAAGTTAGGTTGATGAGTTAATGCAGTTTGCAAAATTAATATTATAATTTAATGAAAAATATCACGACGTGTTAACCTACAATGAGCTCAAAAGTAACATAAAAAGAAAAAATGAAACAAAATTAAGCAAAATTTCAAAACACTAAATGCAATAGTGTTCTAAAAAATATGATGAGCTCTATGCTACGAAATTTAACTTAATAATTAAGAAAATGAGTGATTAAATTACATTGAGTTGACTTGTGACCGGCCAAGGAGGTTCGTTTACAAATATAAAATAGTTTTAAAGTCATTATAAATGTTCCTTTTCAATATGTATATAATGACCCAGTCCTTACTCTTGTAGCTAGAGACAGACGCGAGATTTAATGAGATAGGTGCCATAATATTCGCAATCAAAAGCTTTTTAAAGACTTTTAGTGTTCATAAATTAATTATCTTAAAAGTATACGAGATTCTTACCGAAATTTATGGAATCCGATAACTCCTCAAAATTACACATAGGTATGCTTCTGCTTTTAGACTTGTGAAAACTCTTTTGCTTCAATTTGTTTAACACACCTTTATTTGATTTATATAATTATGGACTAAGTTCGATGTTTTTTATGAACTTTGCTTGTTAAAAAAGGAATCGACTCTTTAAAGTAAAGGAGATGAGTTTCTCGTTGAATGACTAGCAAAGTTTGAATTCTACATTAACGCAGATTGCATCATTATTGAGCTTAAGATATATGCCACATAATCATTGCTAAAAAATTACTCCCTCGGTCCTCTTAAATTGAATTTTATAATTACTTATTTATATATATTAAGAAATTTCTATTTTAGTATTAATTAACAATGAAATTGATCATATTGATCTTAATTTATTCATTGATAATACAACAAATATTCCAAGGCTTTGTACTTCAAGGGAAACTTTAAAGAAAAAAGGAATTAATTTCTTTTTAATATGTAAAACGATAGAATATTATAAACCATAAAAATCAATTAAAATGGACCGAATGGAGTACTTCTAGTCTAATCCTCAATTTGGTATTTTTTAGCTACTTGTTTACATCGTGCACTTTTAAAAACAAACACTCCTATCAATATCTTGGTCGGCATCCTTAGGTCTACTCTTACGATTTTTAACACCTATCACAATTTACCTTTAAATTAATATCAAAATAAAGCATTTCACTTTCATAAGTCTATTTAGCTGACATTATACAATACATCTCTTTTTTTAATTCTTTATTTTTTCTTTTCTTAAATTTCGTACAACTATTTATGTTAATTTTCTTTTTTAAATTTAAGTAATATGCCTCGATTTCTAAAATTTTCTGCTTCAAGTATTTTTTTATTGTTCTTTTGCGATTCATAGCAACAAAACGGAATTTCATCTTCAGAAAGCGAAACATAAACTGAAACGGAAAGGCACCTTTTTCCACTTCTCCCAAACTTACCTTTCTTCTCTCTACCTTCGCGGTATCTTTCTCTCTCTACTGCGGTGTATATACACGCACACACACGGTAGTATTTTTTTTTCGAACCTATGATTATTGATGATGATTATGTTTGAATATAATCTTATTTTCTTTGGAAAACAAATATTTGGATAGTATAATGTACATTGTTGTGTTGTATTTTTGCGTCTGAGAGTTGAAGTTTTGCTTGTTTCTTTTGGATATGGTGTGGAAGGCTCGAAGGCAATAAATTGAAATATTTGCAGAGAAATCTCTGTGAAGTTTCGCTTTCTAGTGTATGTTTCATTTTGCAATCCTTTTGTAATTGTGTACAAGCAGCCTTTTTGATCATTTGCTTTTGAGGAATAGAAATGGAGTTAAATGCCGAAAAGACAAATTTTTCTTCTTTTTTCTTATGGTCTAGAGGAGCATAAAGTATTTGATATTAGTGTCATTTGAGTAATTAGGCATTTTTTGATACAATACTTAAATGGTCTTCAGGGGGCGTAATGACTCTCGTGTTTCTTTTCATGTAAATTGATAGCATCTTTTGGGTAATGACTTGAGAAGAGCAATTCCATGAGAGCTGATTGATTGTTTTATGTTTCTGAGCTTATGATTTTTTGTCTACTCTCCTTGTGTTAAATCTTGACAGTTAAGATAGTGTTAGCTCGTTATTTGGATTTCCTGGAGGCCAGAGGCAGAGGTGTGTAGAGCCAAGGGGTTCAATTGAATCCCCTTCATTAGAAAATAATACTGTGCAAATAGGGCAAAAAAAAAGTTTTTGGGTTTGTATATAAAGTTTTGAATCCCTTGACGTAAGGGATTCTAGTGTAGTGGCAATGGGGTTCAAATATTGCTTTAGGTCACAAGTTTATATCCTAAGTGTGACAGTCTAGTAATTTCCTTGAATCCCCTTGCATGAATTCCTGGCTCCGCCACTACTAGAGGTTAGGATGTTATACTATGATTGAGTCAAATGGTCTGATTTACCGTTCTGTTCATGAATATTCAATTCATGGACCTTTTGTGGCATATATCGTGTTGAGTATGACCTTTAAGGCTATTATTTCTTGAATAAGAGTTAACACAGTGCACGGATGATTGGAATTCTGGTCTAGCTTCCTATTCTTATTTGTGGACTCAGAAAGAATTTCAATCTTTTTCTTCTTTTAATTTGTAATTTTGTTCTATAAGACGAATTTGTCTATTAGTAGGTTCAATTACATGTGCTTTTCTTTCTTTCAGGTCAAAGCGGGGGAAATTCATCAAATCATTTTACACTCGGGGTGTGTGCTTTAGCTAGCGAGATAATCTTGGCCTTAACTCATCCAATATAAAACTGAAACTTCCCGGGATTTTGCATGTCTGGTCTTGTGGCCATCGTTGATAATATTGGAAAAACATTTTCTTTGTCAGATAGGACAAAGTCTCTGGACGCCCTGTTAATTAATGACAATAACCGCTCTAGCAAATGGACAAATGGTGATGTCTGTCATACTTCTGAAAGCACCAGCTTTAGAGTTAGGGATATCTTCTTACCAAATGGGGAATCATATTCTGGATCGCTACTTGGAAACATACCTGAGGGTTCAGGAAAGTATATCTGGTCAGATGGTTGTCGGTATGAGGGTGAGTGGAGACATGGGATGAGGCATGGACACGGGAAACTAGAATGGCCTACTTCTGCTGTCTATGATGGTCAATTTTCAGGTGGTTATATGCATGGTGAGGGGACGTATATTGCACCTGATAAAGTGACATATAGGGGACGCTGGCGGTTGAACCTCAAACATGGTTTAGGGTATCAAGTGTATCCCAACGGAGATATTTTTGAAGGGTCCTGGATCCAAGGAACCCCTGAAGGACCTGGTAAGTATACATGGGCGAATGGGAATGTCTACTCGGGCAATATGAAGGGAGGGAACTTTTCTGGAAAAGGAACTCTCACTTGGATGAGTGGAGATTCATATGAAGGAAGCTGGTTAAATGGTACAATGCATGGTGTTGGTGCATATACATGGAGTGATGGTAGCTGTTATATTGGAACATGGACACATGGAATAAAAGATGGAAAAGGAACATTTTATCCTAGTGGTAGCAGACTTACAGCTGGTCAGGAATTGTACCTCAATGCTTTGAGAAAACGAGGATTACTTCCAGATTTGAGAAAACAACTGCGAGTCTCACATATCTCTCACGCCTCTTCAGTAGATATGGGAAATGTCAAAGTAAGTGGAAGCCATTCATACGATAGGCTCTCGAAGGGGAACATATTAAGGCATGAGCAGTCACAGCCCAGTAATGTTTCTCTGGAAAGACGATGGAGTCTTGAAGTAGCTATTGAGAAGGTAATTGGAAATGATATAGATGGTGTTGACATTGGGAACAATATGAATTCTCCAATTTTGGAAAGAGAATACATGCAAGGTGTACTAATAAGTGAGGTTGTCCTAAATGATCGATTCTCACCACAATCTAAAAGAGCAGCAAAAAGGAGACAAAGAAAACTTGCAAGGGAATCAAAGAGGCCAGGTGAGGCAATTATTAAGGGTCATAGGCGTTATGATGTAATGCTTAGTTTGCAGCTTGGGATCAGGTACACTACTTACAGCAATTTGTTTCCCTTGTTTATCTCTCCATCCTGTTTATAGCATATTGACATTGCTTCATCCATGGTTCCTGGTAACTCCCATGAAATATTGAACATAACAGAAACCATGGTCCATATATGTGAGGTCTAAAAAAAGACAAGTTTCTGCCCTCCTGTTTATCTTATGTCAACCTTTATGACCAGTTAAGCTTCTAGTTTATGAATGTTGAAAGGTTATGAAATGTGACCAGATACTCTGTGGGGAAAATTACACCGGTACAAAGACGAGAAGTTGGAGCCTCTGATTTTGGTGCCTGTTCGAGCTTTTGGATGTATTTTCCTAAAGAAGGATCTCAACTGACACCTTCTCATCAATCAGAAGATTTCAAGTGGAAAGATTATTGTCCAATGGTTTTCAGGTTGGTCATTTACCATCTTCTACCTGCAAAGTCAATTACAATTTCTGTCCGCTAGATATAATTTTCAGTTGTCAATTCCATTGTTTTTTTAATTCCTGAAGGCATGACATTATGTCTAACAGTGAGGAAATAGCTTGATCTATTCTGACAGAATTCTGATCAGTAAATGTACATCTCCCAAGTGAATTAATATACAGGATATATCTGTAAATCATAGATTAATATCTTTTATGCCTTCTCTCAGCCTACTTCTCCTTTGCTGACTAGTTAAGAAAGAGAATCTTTTGATAGTCATTGATCTCAACCATTGATCAACTGAGCTGACCCCCTGTATCCCTTAGTATATTCATTTTCTGGGTGAAATTAATGGCGTCAGATAAGTCTAGGCTAATTATTGGCATTTTGTTTGTTTATTTAATATATGCATATATAGACTAATTGAAACAGATTGACCTTCTTGTAGGAATCTGAGGGAAATGTTTAAAATAGATACTGCTGACTACATGATGTCCATCTGTGGAAATGCTGCACTTAGAGAACTTTCTTCTCCTGGGAAAAGTGGCAGTGTGTTTTTCCTGTCTCAAGATGATCGTTTCATGATTAAGACATTACGAAAGTCAGAAGTTAAGGTGTGAAATCTCAGCTTAAATGATCACACCGCCTCTTAAACTATTTTACCACGGTGGTAGTCATGATTGTTCAGTTCAGGGAAAGCAGCTGCATGTAATGGGAAAAGATCATTTAAGAGGCTGCGTGGGGGTTAACTGAAGTACTTCCTCATCTGTAGTTTCTCTTATCTCGTTAGATTGCCTTGGAAATAGCTAACCTGGATTTTCTGCTTCCTTCTCTTTCAACATTCCTTTTGAAGAGCTATGCCTCCTAATCCTTGGCATGTTTTCTTGTTTTCGTTATAGTTACAAAGTCTCTTTTGATAAGTAATTTTGTTGCATAGAAGCACTAAGATAGTGCTTACAATAACTTCTCAAAACATCTCATTTTTGTAAACCTCTGACTAATTTATTAGCGTTCCTCTGATATTTGTAAGTAGGTATATGAAAAGAGCACTCTTTCAATTAGTGTCGGTTATAATTCTTATTAACGTTCATCTCATTTGTAGGTTTTGCTGCGGATGCTTCCAGATTATCATCGTCATGTCAAGGCATATGAGAATACTCTCATCACTAAATTTTTTGGTCTTCACAGGATAAAGCCTTCAAGTGGACAAAAGGTATAAACTGTAAAACAGTCACATTATTTCATCATTCCTTTGTTGTACTTACGAGTTTCTACAAGCTGCGGAAGGTAAAGTTAGGATAACTTGAGAAGCTATTTGACATCAAACATGTATACTCTGTAATAATGAAAGAAAAAACTTTTTTTTTTTTACAAAATTAAGTAGGAAGTTGGCTTATCACTGAAATAAAAATGACTTATCATAAAATATCGTATAACACATCTCGAAATACTATCAATTGATACGTAGAGACTTACATGTTTAGATATTTAATTAGTCACATCAATGACAAGTATATGTTTATCTGAGTAAAAATTTTGACAAGTGGTTTGGTTCCAGAACATTTTTCCTTACATGCATGCTATCATTTGAAGAAAGAACATATAGACTTTTGCATATCAAAACTAACTCATTTTTTCCCAATAACATTTGCAGTTCTGCTTTGTAGTAATGGGAAATATGTTCTGCACGGAGTTAAGAATCCACCGACGATTTGATCTTAAAGGTTCTTCACTTGGACGATCTGCAGACAAGGTCGAAATTGACGAGAACACAATTCTTAAGGATCTAGATTTGAACTACTGTTTTTATCTGGAGCCTTCTTGGCAGGAAGCTTTACTAATGTGAGTTTTGGTAAAATTATTCCTTATTTTGCATGTATTTCCTATGGTGTTTATGCACTTAACTTTTTCTTTGCTTTTTACCTCCTTATCTTCATAGGTCTTCACTTTATCTCTATAGTAATATCTGAAGGTTTACTTGCCATCCCGTAATGGTTGATCTTCCATAGAGCTTCTTGTAAACATTAGTGAACGTTCATGTGCTAGGACTTCTCCCTTTCTTAAAATCTTTTGTCTACCTTTAAAAAAATTCATTCTTAAGTTTGATCAAGTCCTTTAATTATTTAGCATTTAAACTAGAAGGTACCTTGTGCTGTTAGATATCCGAGGATTTAAACAGCAACAGCCTTCCGTTACTGGTAATATTGCTGTACCGAACAAAGTGGTTCAGTTAGCCCTTTAGTTAACGCCTATCTCATTAGCATGATACTTTCGAGGGCTTTTGATGGATGTAGCAATTCATTCCGTAACAAAGGAAAAACTCCAATATATTGCAGTCAGTTGAATAATTTCATGACTTACTGGTTTGACATTTTCTGTTTCCTTGTATTAGGCTATTGACGATTCTCAGCCACTATAGTCGTATTTCTTTTATAACAGTTCCACACGATTCATCTATGTAAATATGGTGGAAATTTCTTTCTGTGCTTATACCAGTCTGTTATTTTTGCAAGTTTTATAAGATAGAGTAAGGCTTAGAGTGCATGGATCTATTTAGTACTTTTCCTGGAAGCAGTTACAACTGGCATTCAAAAGCTGTTCGAGAGTGTTTCTCTTTATGTTTGATGATCACTGACTTCACTAGAACCTTTACGTATTCATGCAAATTACTTCAAGTATTTATGCATGTTTAATAAGACCGAGTAACGTTTCGTGTGCATTTATCTGGTGCTTTAACCTGGAATCAAGTAATACTTGCACTGGCACTGGAAACAAGACACTGTTTCTCTTTTATATGGTCACAGATTTCACTCTCAAATGTTACTAGAATCTTCTTGAATTCATGCGCATTTCAATAAGTAAACAATGGTATGTGTAAATAGCTTTTCTCATTCCGTAGTTTAATGATATGATAGATCCCTATTTTGTTAATTTAAAGAGATCAAGAAGGGAAAGAATTTTTGAACTTAAGATACCATAGAAAGAGTAGAACGTCACTTACTACTGTAGAAGTAACCTGCATTATCTGATGTTTCTTCAAGGAGATACCATTTTCAATAGTGTCCCAACAGGAAATAAGTGATTTGAAATAAAATTTCCTTTTTCATTTCAGCGGAAATCCTTTTAAATGCTCTCATTTTGTTTGTGGATATTCATGTACTTGTACAGGCAGATAGAGATCGATAGTAAATTTTTGGAGGAGCAGCACATAATGGATTACAGCCTCTTGTTAGGCGTTCATTATAGAGCACCCCAGCACCTACGATCTCCCATCTCGTGCAGTGGACGTACAACAGCAGAAGGATTTGGAAATGTTGCAGAAGATGGTATGTTTGTTTCTGAAAGATTATGAATATTTCATGTGTTTTCCAATCTATGTGATCATTTCTTTAATGTAAATTACTGATCCCCCTTTCTAATCAATGAGCAAAGTGCTTGATCACTGTTTCTGAAACTTTATTATTTTATTTATTACAGAGTCTCTGGAGGATGAAATATCACCACAGGGCCTTGTTTTAGTCCCTCGTGGTGCAGATGATAATAATGTAGTCGTAGGACCTCATGTCAGAGGCAGCCGATTGCGAGCAGCATCTGCTACAGGTGACGAGGAAGTAGATCTCCTCCTTCCTGGGACTGCAAGGTACTTCAAAAATCTTGAACATGGTACTTTCAGCTCACTTAGAAGTTTCATTCCAGGATAGCGTGCATGACTCAGTTGCTAGAACCACAGTGCATCAAATAGGTTTAAGTATGAATACAACTGTATAGGAATATTTGATACTCAAAACACAATATAAAAACAGATTTAGAAATGATACATGCAAGAAAGTTCATGACTATATATGTTCGCCCAAAGGAATGCATATTTATGCTATATATCTCATGTAATCTGCCGATTAATTTTGATCCCTTTTTCTATTGATATCTTCTAAAAGTAGCTTCCCTCGTATCCCCGTGCAGACTCCAGATTCAGCTTGGAGTGAATATGCCAGCAAGAGCAGAATATATACCCAGGAAAGATGAAGCACGGATGTTTCTCAAAGTATACGATGTTGTATTATATCTCGGGATCATTGACATATTGCAAGAATACAACCTACGTAAGAAGATAGAACATGCATACAAATCTATTCAGTTTGATTCTATGTCCATTTCTGCTGTGGAGCCAACATTTTATTCACAGCGGTTCTTACAGTTCATTCGAAAGGTGTTTCCTGCAAAATCAGTAGTAAATTAGAAGAGTGTGTATATTGTCGTTTATACCTCATCTTTTCCCTTAAACAACTAATCCCATGACTTGTTTGTAGTGTCCTCATGGGTTGACAGATATGTATCTACTATTTTCATTTATTGAGAATGCACAAAACGGCTTACGAGGGTTTATATTGTATCTAGTGATTTCCTTTTTTTTTTCTGGAAAAAAGTAAATGTAAACTCTTCTGGCAACAATGGAAAAACTTTTCTTTGTTGATTTTGTCAACAACGTTTCTGCATTTTGTACACCATTACCATTATGAAGATACCACCAATACACTGACTTGAATTTCAATTTAGTAGAGAGGCAACTCTCAAGTTGAGATGGAGTTTGGCAACCTGGATATGCCTGAAGATGTCAGGCTAATTTCCCAAGACATCAACGAAAAATATAAATAGACAAAAAGAATATGCCAAGAAGGTAGATTGATTCACTGACAATTTAAATACAAATGTATCTTATTAACTCAGATTTGGCTCCTGAAAATTGAGAAGATTAAATTTAAACAAGTATAGGCCTTCATTTCAGCGGAGCAGCAGCTAATGCACCAGGCCGCTTCTGATATTTGAAGCCGGTATGTATTACATTGTCTGCCCTAAGGCAATACTAGGCAGCGTAACATGCAGTCATGATTTTCATGCCTAAAACTCCAATCACCATCTGACTCTTCAACCAAAGCATATCTACAAAACTCATCACCAGAAGAGTGAGCTTGACTGATGCATCCATGCAAATTGTATCATGGCCAATGCTCATCGTCCCATGTTGGGTGGCGGAGGTGGTGGGTGCATTCCTTGGCCTTGCATCTGTTGCCCCGGGAAACCTTGTGGAGGCATCATTGGTGGTCTCCCCATGTGTGCACCAGGAGTAAAATGAGCCATTGCACCACCACCAATTGGTGGAGGTGGTGGGGCAGGCAAGTTACCACCTGGAGGCATAGGCCTAGGTCCATTAGCCATAGACGGAGGAGGAGGCGGCATAGACCCAGGGGTAGATGGTGGGCCTCTAGGCGGGTGTGGCGCTCCAGGGGGGAGTCCTTGCGGTGGTGGCGGCGGAGGAGGCAAAGTTCTAGGTGGGGCATCAGGTGTTGTTCCATTAGCTGTAGGAGCAGGTTGCGGTTTGTTGGTCTCCGGTGCTTAGTCTTGAAGTATAACTGCAACTGAAATCGATTTATCCAGGTGAAATGTCAGATTTACCATGAGGAGAATTAGTGAAACTTGGCAAAGAAATATAAACCTCCCAAGTAGGTATTACAGTCCAAACTCATTGGAGTTTGAAGACTTCAGACGACTTACAGTGAACATTTTTGAGTCTGGATCCCAATGAGAGAAGAACTTTGGTGTAGATTTATCAATCTCGATGCTAGGAACCTAAAGAATGCACGTTTTCAGTTAGAAACAGATCTCTCATCTAAAAAAAAAAAAATCTAACAAGCATAAGTGCTGCACCATGACAAGAATATTTCTACTTTAGAACCAAACTACCTTGAACGCAATGATCTCATACGGTTCAGCAGCGAACAGAAGAAACTGATATCTTTTATCAAAAGGTTGAACTTTCTGCACAAAAGGGAAAAAGAAAAGAAAATACATAAGGATGATCCTGTTAAAATTTGAAATGATTCTTATGTACCAATAGAGTACTTCAGAAAAGATAATTGTAGGACATAACAAACCTGCTCAAATGAGGACATGAATCGGTGCCTTGGCTTTGTATTGTCTTCAATCTCAGGATATTCAATCTACAACAAAATTGAAAGTCATGAAACTATTGATGGGCAAATACAATTTTTTTAGAAACATGCATTTTGTGCAATCAGAGTTTCTGGTAACATAGTACATACTTTGAGTATGTGATCATAGGCAGGTAGTTAAAATCACCCAAAAAGGCACTTGATTAGCACCAGTAGAAATCTGTGCTCTCAAGTTTATTTCACATATCTCAATATGTAACACCATTGACTTCCTAGGGGCTAGGAAGAAGGATCCCAAAAAATCCTTGGGAACAATGAGCAAAAGGATATCTCAGAAGGAAAGTAGGAGGCTGTATTGGCAAAGATCAAAAGGTGAACAACTGCACTAAAAAAACCAGCGAAAAGTCCGAGGTTTTAGTACTATACTCTATTACTGAACTAGCAGCTTAGCTTGAAGGAAGGCCAGCCCTTCCCTTTCCTTTCTTCCTCGGCCAACCCTGAAATTCTGTTTCCTATCAATCCCAACTTAGTATACAAACTCAAGAAACTGATCCACGTTACCGCCTGCAACCTACCACTAATCTACGATATTTGTGCATTTCTCTTCTTTAGAGCATCTAGTAAACCACTTTTAACGTGGACAAAATCCTACTTTCTCATTCGTCACGCAAGCATTAAGATTCAAGTAGCCCTTTAGCCAATACATTAAGTTTCTATCACTTCCGCATTTTTCATGGTTTTGAAAAGACACAAATTGTTTTTCCTTATTTTTTTCTCTAAATAGCATACAAAGGTGTGGCCCACATCTACATGCCCAAGTGCTTTCACATTATGAGGTTGCCACCTCCTTCACCAAGTGGTCCTAACACCTCCTTGTCCATCTTCAACACAAAAGACGTCACAGACTTTTTTGTCCTTCACGTATGGCTTTATTCTGTTATATTTGAACTATATTCTATTTTCTCTCACTATCTGCACCAAATCGAATATGGCGTCCACTCCGACTGGATATGTGTTTATAACCAACTTATCGCACCAATGAGACTAGAAGTGCTTTTTAGTTTTTCCTTCTCTATATAGCCAATTGCCTTTTTTTTTTTGGACTAGGTTTTCTACTGCCTAGTGCTTCAATTATTCAGACTGAATACTAATGCTATTCCAAAAAGGATTAAAGTCAGACTTTACACATCTAATTTCGTAGTAAGTCGAAAAGGCTTATCGATATTCCTCATCATCTCTTACTCATTGCAAAAATAACATTATATTGATCTTATTTCAACACTTAATGTCATCTGAGATGATACAGTGCCATTGAACGTTAGTTAGCAGCAGATATGTCATAAAGATCAAAAGGAAAAAAGAAAAGAAAAAGGACAGCAAAAGACATGGCGTACCTGAAATAGAAGAGATCTTTGTTTTGTCTCTGGATCAAACTGCTTGGTTACTCGATAGCCAGGCCGACCAATTTTAACTGCAATTGCAACAGACGAAAAACTTAGTACAGGTCAACCAATCAACTAGAATACCTTGATAACTATCATCAAACTATTCGTTTCTCACTCTGAAGATCTAACGCTTAAAAGAATTAATTTTTAAAGCATCCAGTATTGGAAGTCCATTGGCCAGATTATATTTGGATCCACTGGGTAGGCCCACTAAGAGGGTAAACCGCTATCTATCAAAAGGTTCTCCATTCTCGATGCTTGAACTCGACACTTCTAGTTAAGGGTGGTGAATTCTTACCATTACACCACTTTCTTGATAAAATAAAGTACAGAAGGTACTACCAAAGTAATTATTACAAAATCCAATATTTTCAGTAATTTTGCCAATGAAAAATGGCAACGTCAAAATCTTTATCTGAAATCTGACTCAGATTACTATAATAAATAAAATGGCAAACTTTCTTTCCGTCTAATAATAAAATCCACTCTATAACATGCCCAGACAAAAAAGACTATAGCGTGATCAATGGTATAGAGAAAATCCGTTCAACCATAAATTTCTTTTCTGGAACCCTATTCAACTAAACAACAAAAAAACTATCTTCTATAATAGAGAAATCAACAGATCCACAGTTTCCAGTCGGTGGATAATGATTCTGCCCCTCTATCCTTCCTACTTAAAACTATCTCTATCACAACTTATCCGCACCTGGTGTTTCTACCAAACCATACTAATTTACCATGGTGTCATGTATCCAATCCAATGTACTACCAACTAGAAGTCCAAAATTGAAGTTCATAACTTTAATATACGAAGAATTGGAAAAAAAAAATAGTTTCAATTATTACCATTCCTTTTGAGAGCGACTTTGCGCTTATGAGGCTGCGGCTGAGCTGGCGCATCCTTAGCTTCACGAGCCGCTCGCTTTGCTAAATTGGTCTGATGGCGCTTCCCTTGCGTATGGGCCAAGTAATTCCCTTCGTTATTGTGTAGCGTTAAGCAAAGTTTACACTCGTAGCTTCCCAAATGGTTTCGCATGAAATATGGATCTTTGGCCAGATCAATTGTCTCAAGGGCAAGCCGCCGTAACCGCTCACGCCGGTCGATGGCTTCATTTTGTGCTGAGGCGGCGCCACCACTTCCTGGCTTCGAACCCCACTCTCTGTCCATATTACTGGTTCAATTGTTTTGTTCGCAGAACTAACGGTTAGCTTGAGTTTTGGTCTTTTAGGGAATAGATGAAAAGTAGCGGGGCAAGTGCATAGATAGAATATTAGCCCGTGCATAGATAGAATATTGTCATGAAATTTTAAATTTAAAGTTTTAATTTTAGGACAACTCAAGATCCTGAAAAATTAAACTCAAAAACTAAAGATACACTGATTAGTTTCTAATTAGCAGCCCTTTAAAGTGGCTACCTGGTGTTATTTCTACAATAAGAGCCGATGAATGGATTGTGATCATTTTTATGAATTTGTCGCTTTTAGAAATCCTATTTAAAATATATTCAATAGTTAAAAATTATTTAAATATTTAGGCATTTTTGAAAATTTTCAAATTTCTCCTGTTGTTGTTACTTTTTATGCTTGTTTTCCGGACTTTTGAGTCTAAATTTTTTCACTCTCATAGCCTAACTTCACATTGAAATGTCTGAAGTTTACACTATCAAAATTAAAATTTAAGATCGAACTGTATTCAATTTCAAATTTGACGGTCTGACTTTTGAAACTTCAAACCCCCGATTGAAACTTTAGACTCGATGCTTTGAAGTTTGCTTCTGAAGTGACTAAATTTTCAAAAAATTGTGAATTAACTTCGGCTATTCTTTAAATAGGGGTTCTGAAAGCAATTATTTATACATCTCGCTCGACCATTTTGCTTTTGGATGGAAGAGTAGGTGGTGGAGAAATCCAAAATTAATGACAGGATCGACCCTTTACTTTGAGGGGTCGTTAAGACACATAAGATTTTTTTTTCATTTGTTTGTTTCGTTTTATAACTGAACTACTCACCAAAATATATGTCGCCGGAAAAGTTTTACTGGTCAATAAGGACCGTGGGTGATGGATAGTTCCTCTTCTTTCTTGGTGGTATCGCTTGAAATGAGTAAAGAGAAGGGACTTTATCTACAGCTCGAGGGAGCCAACACGTGTCACTAAACTCAGCCGTCTGTGACAGCTGTATTCCACTAGTGTTACTTAATTAATTATATCACTGTTAGTTAGGAGGTTAGTCAGTTAGAGAGGATATGTATATATATTACACTCTGTACATTGAAAAGTTCAGTTGAGAAATATAATTCAACCAATTCTATTCTAGAATCTTCCATGAAAACTGACATGGTATCAGAGCTTTGGGCCTTCGATCCAGTAGCAACATCCGTCACGCATTTGGATTACACGATCTCAATCTCAATCTCAATCTAAACTCAGAAAATTCTCTAAAGTTTTTCCCCCAGCATTTTCTTCGATTTTGATTGATACCTAAATCTGAATTCTATGTCAAATTCTCCAAATTCTGAATCACAAATTGTTGATTCAACTTCTTATTGTGAATCTGTGCCTGAAATGGAGAAGATTGACTATGAACATCCTTATTATCTTTTTGCATCCGATTCCCCTGGGACTGCTTTAGTTATACCTCCTTTTGATGGATCTGGTTATGGCGGTTGGAGAAAATCTATATTGATTGCTTTGTCAGCTAAGAATAAGCTTGGTTTTACTGATGGAAGCTTGCCTCGCCCAAATGATGGAGTTGTAGATCTTAGGTCTTGGGTAAGGTGTAATGATATGGTATTTTCTTAGTTGTTGAACTCCTTAACACCAGAAATTAGGTCAAGTGTGATTCATTTCAAGTCCACAAGGATCATGCGGAAACAACTCGAAGATAGGGATTGTCAGTCTAATCTAGCACAGTCATTTGAGTTGCAAAAACAACTGTTAGAAACTGTACAAGGATCAAGTAATATTGCATCCTATTTTAACAAAAAATGAAACATATACTGGAGCACTAGAGAAGAACTCTGCACTTGAGGAAAGATAATTGGTGCAATTTTTGACAGGCTTAAATGAAACATATACTGGAGTAAGAGGAAATATCATGATGATGCAACCTTCTCCAACCATTGATAGAGCATATTACCTTCTTCTTTAGGAAGAAAGATAGAGAAGCATCCAAAATATGGCTCAATATCCTACTGAATCCAACTCTTTTGATGTACCTGGGCAGAATAATAATCAGAACAAACAGAGATATGAAATCCAAATACTTATGGAGGTAATATGGCAGGAACACAGTCTACCAGGAACAATCAGGAACATAGGAAGATCTATTTTGTAACTACTGCAAGAAGGCAAGACATACAATTGATAAGTGCTTCAATTTGCATGGTTATCCACAACAATTCAAAAGCCCCAATAGACAGAACAACTTCCAACATTCAATTCAAGGGAATGCAGTCTTTTCAGATGAAGGACCTGGGCAGTTTCTACCCAACACCTCTAAGACTGAAGCTACTATTTGTGTAAATCAGGGGCAACGTAACCAACTGATGGAACTACTTAAACAAGTTAAAGTTGGGCAACAAGCTAACACTTCTAAGGCCAGTGCTGTTGCTAATTGTGCTGGTACATCTCTGCTTAATCCTACTCATCCTCCTGCATCTTCTAAATACCATTTTGTATCATTGACTCAGGTACTTCCGAGCACATGACTTTTGATTTCACCATTATGTCAAATGTCATTACTTTGTCTAGACCTATCAATGTTACTCTTCCTAATTCCCAAAAGGTTAAATTCACTCATGCGGGACAAGTGACAGTTCACCCTTTATTAACTCTAGTACTCTATGTCCCAACTTTCAAATTTAACTTGATTTCTGTTCATCGATTATGTGAACAGTTTCATTCTATTCTTACCTTCAGTGATTTTGCCTGTTTCTTGCAGGGCCTTTCCTTGAGGAAGCCTCTGGTTCTTGGTGAAATCAAGGCTGGGCTTTACCTTTTGCATTTTGTTCATCATCCTGCTGATTCCCTGCACATAGATAATAAAACTTCATCTCTTTTGCATAGTTCTAAACCTATCTCCAATGTTGTCAATGTTTTACATTCCTCTATGTCTAGTTTTACTGCTTCATGTGATAATCTTTGGCATGTAAGGTTGGGTCATTTGCCTATATCTACCATGAGACATATTCCCATTTGTAAACAGCATTGTTCCAGTGCAAATGTTTTCCCTTGTTCTATTTGCCCTATGGCTAGACAACACAAGTTACCTTTTCCCAATAGCACTAGTTGTACCTCTCATGTGTTTGAACTAATCTACATATATACTTGGGGACCCTATAAATTTCCTACTCATGATGGTTTCAGATTTTTTCTTACTATTGTGGATGATTACAGTGGGGGCACATGGATTTTCCTATTAGGTACTAAAAGCAATGCCTTTACTGTGTTGCAATCCTTCATTTCCATGGTTGAGAGACAATTTGACACCAAAATCAAGACTTTGGCTTTCGTCTCGGTAGGTGTATTATTATACATTTTTCCAAAAGAACATTCATTCATTTCTTTCTTCCCCGTCGATCAGGACAACTGAAACGACGCGAAAAATCCAGACCCGTAAAGGAGAAGGGCCGGTGGATGGCTGGGTTCCGTGTCCTTGGTAGGCTCGACCATCAGAGATCCGTTCATTACGAATGTTTTTTCTTGATGTGTGTGAACAACTAATTTTTGACCACGCCCAAATTCTATACTATTTTAGTATAAATATCTCTTTAAGGTCTAAATAAAAGAAAACTACAAAAATACTAACATTCTTAGAGTATGAATTTTCTTTATATATATACATATATATATGATTTCTTTTAATTAGAATTATAATAAATAAGTTAGCTTTAGTATATATATATATATATATATATATATATATATATATATATATATATATATATATATATGTATGTATATGGTTCTTTTAATTAGAATTATAATAAATAAGTTAGCTTTAGTATTTTTCTTAGTATAATTTAAACTATAATGTAAATATTTAATTTTCTTATGTATATAATATTTAAGTATAAGGTAGCTAACTAATATTTTTTAACTATGCATTTTACTTTCTAATTTCTTCATTAATAAAGAATAAGTAAAAGTTATTAAACAAAAAGAAAAAAAAAAGAAAACTAACTCAGCAAATTAACGAAAAGCAAGCAAAATAAATAAATAAATAAGTAAATAATATAACAAAAAAAATAGGGATAACTCTTGAAAGATTCAAAAAATTATCCTAACTACTTACCATGATCTCCTCAACCCTCTCCCCCAAGATTTCCTCCTCTCAACCCCATTCTCTCACTCCAACTCCAACTCTAAACTCTTTTGCACATGATCACATATCACCAACATTCTCCTTTATAAAAGGGACATATCACAATGAGAGAATGATCAGAGAATTGAGGGGGAAAAGAAAAACTTCTGAAAAATTATTCCCAATCGGTTTTAGGAACTAAAACATTAAGGTTCGGTCTTCAGTGCTTTTCGATCCAAAACACATCACTGTTTTCTGGTTTTGTCGAGTCCTGGGGTCCGATTGCTGCTGGAATTTCACTGCTATTGCTGGTTCATTTGATTAGAGTTTGTTTGCTGAGTTTGGTGCTCGGTTACTCTCCTTCTATTTCCGTGAAACTAGGTATTTCCCTCAAGCTCTGTAATCATAATTTGAGATTGAATTAAAATGACATGATTTGTATTACCATGTTAGTAATTTAATCTGTTGGGGTCCATGTTTAAGCGCATGTTATTGGGTACAAATCTGGAATACATGTCATGAACCTTTAAAGTCTATTCTAAAGCTTCGGATAATAAAATAAAGTGTAGTTATGGTTCATATAGTTACTGTTTCTAGCCTATAGTTCTATATAGTTTCCATGTAGTTATAATTATAGACAAAAATCATTTTTTCAAAAATTTATGCAAACTTTTAGAGCTTAGCTGTTTTGCTGTTGGAAAAGACAACTCCCTTTTTGGATTTGATCATTGTTTGTCCCAGTCTAAAAGTTTGGTTTGAAAGAAATTACATCCTAAAAGATCCAAACTTTTCAGTGCTCTTTTACATAAATGTTCTTGAAGCATTAGTTAAAATTTGGAAATGAAACTTTCGGATTCACGCAGTTCTTGAATTGTTTGGTAATGCATATTTTTTTTTAATATTTTAATGTCTTAGTTTGTTCTATTTTATTTTGTTTCTCCAGTGC